TAGGTTCTTGTGTTAGTTTTTTTCAGAAGTAGATCATTTATAGAGTAGAAGCAAATGAAACAAAATTCTTTGAAAATGTATTCTAGTCAGTGAGTAAAGGGAAAAGAGAGGAAGTGAGAGCGAGAGAAAGAAAGAGAGTGAAGGAGGGAATCAGTGATATGTTGCAACACTTTAGGTCATGCATTCATCTTGTGAGAGTCTTGTGTCATACTTGTCACAGTCTGTTAACGGTTTACCCTTACTTTAATGTTAACGTTGCAGGTACTTAGCTAGTAATGCTAACGTTGTCGGTACTTATGCTAAAGTCTATGCGTGTGCAGCTGTGCATGTGTGTGTGTCCTCAAGATGGATTGCCTGATTTGCAGTTTTATGTCCTAAGCCCAAAGTGATATACTTCGTATTTGTAAGTAGGTATCTAGAATGTGCTTGTAATAGTGCGTGTGTATGTATGTATACGTGAGGGTGTGTGTGTGTATGTGAGTGTATACGTATTTGTGCGTGCTCTTTGGCTGCAGTAAATCAGTGTGTGCTCGTCTCCTCCCTCTGGAGCAGACGCCGTGCTGCAGTAACGGCAGAGGACACCTACTCATCCAAGGGTTTGTGTGTTTTAGACTGAGGGTGCCTCTTGAGGCTGCATGGTTGTGAATATAAGTATGTTGAATGTATACGGTATGAGTGATAAATGTGGTGCTTGTGAGTGAGTGTATGTATACGTGAGTGTGTACATGCATGTGGATCTGATGACTGTAGACCTAGGCTGAGATCTGCAGCACCCTTCTCTTTCTGCAGTAAAATAGTTTTTTTTTCTCTCTCTGTTCTGGAAGTGTTCCCAGCACTGCTGCAATTATTCTCTGGGGAGGAGCCCGGACAGCAGAGCGAAAACACACACACACACACACACACACACACACACACACACACACACACACACACACTTTATTTCACTCTACTTCCAATTGCATTGATCATGCTTTTAACTGGGATTAAGTTAATGTTAACGTACCCCTCTCTCTGCTCTATCCACTGCACCTTAGACCACCTCTACTTGTCCCAGTCCCAACACACTGCATCTACACAACATTTACATATATTTTTTAAACTTCCAGTACTTCTTGAAAACTTCCCTATTTCAACCAATTTTCAGAACATACACTTAGTTTTAGACCAAAAGCAGAAAGTACTTAACTGACAGATGAAAGGCAAAAAACATATACATACTTCCTGTGTCTAAAATATTCAATCCGAAAGAGAAATGTGTAGATGGCTAATGAAAAGTTCTCAACACCCCCTCCTAAAGACTTTCCATAAATAGTTCATGATGCAGGAAATAACGTTCCTAATGAATAATAGATCACAATGCAACTAAATTGCAACAGAAGCAGAAATATGCTTTACTGGCCGTTACCTGCAGCTGACTACTTTTGAAAGTCCAATCACTATTTTCAAAGTAAAAGTCTTCTGCAGGTCAGTCAGGTACCCATCCGGTTAGCTAATAATTACAATAATAAAGGTCCAATTGAGCCGAGCAGCTGAAGTAGAAGAGTAGAGTCTTGTAGGTCCACTCCTGATTCCTGACATGAGCTGTGAGGTCCAGTACGGGAACATAATGGGGGAGAGAGAGGGGGCAGGCAAAGGAATGAGAGAGAAAAAAGACAGAGTAAGGATGTGTGGAAAAGAGAGAGCTCTCCCTCATCTTTAGCTGTGTGTCTTCTCTTGTACTGTAACTGTAGACCGGGTCAGGTGGCCTGTTTTTTTTTTTTCCTTCATCATCTAATTTCTTCTCACTGTTGGAAGAATACCTAGCTCTCTCTCTACATCTCAATATCGATACCTTGTTCATTCCATATAGGGCTATTCTCAGGTTTGAATAATTTAGAGTAGATTATCTTATTGCTTAGTTTTTAGTTTGCCACAAATGAACAAGTCCTGACAGTCTAATAGCACATAATGGGGTGTGTCTGAAAGCTGTAATGGTATTCTGTAATACGTTTATTAAAATAATGCAGTGATCCCTCTACCTTTACAAGTTGCTGACTAATCAGTGATAAAAGGAAGGATCGAATCGGAGAACGCCGTGGCAAGCAGTTTTCTACAGTATAATGACTCCCAGCTACATTCAGTCAGGCACCAGTGGTCCTCTCTCATTGACATGTGTTGGGTACATCTATCATAGGAGGTCGGGGGGGCGTCACCATGTTTTTTCACACCGTCTCATATCTTTGCACTGCCAGCCACATTACGTTAGTGTCACTGCAGAGTTATGAGAACGTTATGCTATGTTCACCAGTTTGACCTTCTGAGGCACACACACACATCCCATCCCTCACACATACTCCCTGGCACCTTGATTGCCAGATGGTGTACTCATGGTTATAGATGGTGGAAAGCTTCAAGTTCCTTGGCGTACACATCACCGACAAACTGAAATGGTCCACCCACGCAGACAGTGTGGTGAAGAAGGCGCAACAGAGCCTCTTCAACCTCAGGAGGCTGAAGAAATTCGGCTTAGCACCTAAAACCCTCACAAACTTTTACAGATGCACAATTGAGAGCATCCTGTCGGGCTGTATCACCGCCTGGTACGGCAACTGCACCGCCCACAACCGCAGGGCTCTCCAGAGGGTAGTGCGGTCTGCCGTACGCATTACCGGGGGCAAACTACCCGCCCTCCAAGACACATACAACACCCAATGTCACAGGAAGGCCAAAAAGATAATCAAGGACATCAACCACCCGAGCCACTGCCTGTTCACCCCGCTATCATCCAGAAGGCGAGGTCAGTACAGGTGCATCAAAGCTGGGACCGAGAGAATGAAAAACAGCTTCTATCTCAAGGCCATCAGACTGTTAAATAGCCATCACTAACACATTAGAGGCTGCTGCTGCCTATTGAAATCACTGGCCACTTTAAGAAATGGAACACTAGTCACTTTAATAATGTTTACATATCTTGCACTACTCATCTCATATGTATGTACTGCATTCTATTCTATAATATTCTACTGTATCTTAGTCCATGCCACTCTGTCATTGCTTGTCCATATATGTATATATTCTTAAATTCCATTCCTTACTAGTTTTGTGTGTATTGGGTATATGTTGTGAAATTGTTAGATATTACTGCACGGTCGGCGCTAGAAGCACAAGCATTTCACTACATCTGCTATAACATCTGCTAAACACATGTATGTGACAAATAACATTTGATTTGATTTGATTTAATTATCCTGATGTACGGGAATATGACACTGTCGTTAGACCTGGTCTGGCCAGGCAGGGCTGGGGACAGCAACTAATCCAGACCCCTACCACCACCACCAACACCGTATCAATATCATCATGTGAAAACCTGGGAGGGGAGAGAAATGCAGAGTCAGAGGAAACTCAACTCTGTCAATCTATCATAGTGTAAGGATGAGTACAGACAGAGATAGGGAGGGAGGAGAGAGAGAGGGCGAGCTCTCAAAGTCACATTCACATTGCAGATAAACACACACCCTCATTTATTCAGGTATAGACATCAGATATAACAGGAGTAAAATATGTTCACATTTAACAGCAAACATCCTCACTCTCAATTCTGTGATTTGAAGCTATGCAGTGTAACTCAAGGGAGTGATTGACGAACGAATCGTTTTTTATTACCAGGACATTGTCACATACAGTATATCAATGTTAGAACATGTCATATCTATTTCTATATCCAGGGTGTTTATAAATACAAGGTAGTGCGTAGAGGCTAGCGTGTCCCTGGCGCTCTGTTACGGAACCCCCTCCAACCTGCACTGCAGAACTTTCTCTGTTCTCCACAAGCACTCTGGCAAAAGTGCCTGCGTCTGCATTCACAGTCAGGAGAGGGGAGGGGAGGGGGAGAGAGAGAGGGAGACAGACAGGGAGGGGGGTAACGAGGAGGAGGAGAAGGAGAAGGCAAAGAAAGAGAGAGAGGGGGAGGGAGGGAGAGAAAGAGAGAGGGACAGGCAGGCACTGAGCCAAGAGAGAGAGAGCAGGGGAAAGTTGAGAGAGAGCCAGAGGGGCAGGCTAGCAGCCAAAAGGAAGAAGAAACTGGGGCTCTTCTATCCAGGAAGAAGAGAAAGGACCATCCAAACCAGCAGCCACCAGCCACCAGGGTTACTGCAGCACTCCTCCTGTCCATTCTCTTGCTCTCTTCTCTCTCTCTCTCTCTCTCTCTCTCTCTCTCTCTCTCTCTCTCTCTCTCTCTCTCTCTCTCTCTCTCTCTCTCTGTCTCTCTCTCTGACTGGGACTGCATCGCGCCTTTCTCTGCAGAGGAATCGCTGGCTGATAGAATCTCCTTGACTGCACCCTGACTGACTGGCTGTGCGCAGTGATTCTCCCCTGGCTCAGCTCCTCTCTGCTCTGCCGTGTGTTCGTCCTCACTGACTCAGCTGTGCTGTGTAGTCAGCCTGCTGGTCCGGCTTCTCAGGGAATACAGCCACAGGAAGAGGTACAGTTCAGTACTGTCTCACGCTGCGCACACAGTGTTTTACATCCCCTTTACTCTCTCTCTTTTTCTTTCTCCTCTCTCTCTCTCTCTCTCTCGTGTCTCTTCTCTCTGTCTCTTAAATCCTCACTATTTCTGCTCCTCTTTCTCTCTCAGTTTAGGAGTTCTCTCTTACCGTATGATTATAGTTGATTGACTTAGTTCGTCTTGAGTTTGTTTTTAAGTCTGTACCACCCCACCCCCCCCCCCCCATTTGCTCACTCTTGCTCTCTTCCTGCATGCCCTTTGTCTAACCTACAGTCTTTCTGACAGGAGGGTCGGGGCTGGCAGGAAGACGCACCACAACCAGGACTGGCTAACAACACAGTGGGACGTGGTGCCTCGGTTGGGACCAGATCAGTCGCCAAGGCACAACGAACAACCACACCAGGGGGATTCAGGTTCACACAGACCTGACCAGTTTCTGAGGGGATAACTCCAGCCCAACGGACCCTGGGCTGGATCCCACAGCAGGGGGTGTTTTGGACGGGATCAGAGTGCCATGGAGGTTCAGGGGAGTGGGGCTGAGGAGCCCAGGTCCAGGGGTCTGTTGTCCTCACACACCGCCTGGCCCCGGACCAGCCTGATCATCACTTTGCTGCTCAGTAAGACTTCTCTGTCTCAGTCATATATCACTTCTCTTTCATCAAATCCCTCTCTCTCTGCACCTCTCACTCCCAGGTCGTCCTCTCTCTCTTTCTGTTGAGTAAAGTTTTAGCAATTTCCCCAATTCCGCGACCCCAACTGCCCTGTAGTGTGCTATAAAACATTTACTGTATTTGCGATCTGTATTTGCTGATTCTCCAGTTCAATAGAATAGACTCATCACAGTTAAAATCTTGCTCTCACTTCAGAATGGTAGGCAACGTTGTGGCAGTTGGCTTTTCACTATGTGGCATGATTGGTGAAATGTTGTATCAGAGTTTCATTTGTGTGGTGGCTAGAAACTGCTGTCAGTTTGTATGCTGAAGTATGTTTTATGGATAACTAAGCATACGTTACCATATAGAATAGTGATTTTATAATCTCAGTGTACATAACACCCCTCTGTTTCACAACCTGAATCCGAGTTGATCAAAGCCCTGGCAGCTGCAGCAGTGGGCTAGTGTCTGTTCAGAGGTGTGTCATTAAATACATCATCCACATTATTATTATGCAGGACCTATCAGTGGCCGCCTATTGCACAAGCATTCTATCATAGCAATAGTATTCATGAGAATTAAAAGGACTAAAAGAATATACAGTGCATTCGGAAAGTATTCAGACCCCTTGACTTTTTCCACATTTTGTAACGTTACAGCCTTATTCTAAAATGGATTAAATAAAAAATGTTTCTCATCAATCTACACACAATACCCCCATAATGACAAAGCGGAAACAGTTAGTTTTTGTGTGTGCAAATGTATTAAAAATAAAAAACAGAAAAACCTTATTTACATAAGTATTCAGACCCTTTGCAATTAGACTGGAAATTGAGCTCAGGTTCATCCTGTTTCCATTGATCATCCTTGAGATGTTTCTACAACTTGATTGGAGTCCACCTGTGGTAAATTCAATTGATTGGATATGATTTGGAAATGCATACACCTGTCTATATAAGGTCTCACAGTTGACAGTGCATGTCAGAGCAAAAACCAAGCCATGAGGTCGAAGGAATTGTCCGTAGAGCTCCACAACAGAATTGTGTCAAGACACAGATCTGGGGAAGGGTACAAAAAATATTCTGCAGCATTGAAGGTCCCCATGAACACAATGGCCTCCATCATTCTTAAATCGAAGAAGTTTGGAACCACCAAGACTCTTCCTAGAGCTGGCCGCCCGGCCAAACTGAGCAATCGGGGGAGAAGGGCCTTGGTCAGGCAGGTGACGAAGAACCCAATGGTCACTCTGACAGAGCTCCAGAGTCATTTGCAGCACTCCACCAATCAGGCCTTTATGGTAGAGTGGCCAGACAAAGCCACTCATCACTAAAAGGCACATGACAGCCCGTTCGGAGCCAAAAGGCACCTAAAGGACTCTCAGACCATGAGAAACAAGATTCTCTGGTCTGATGAAGCCAAGATTGAACTCTTTGGCCTGAATGCCAAGCGTCATGTCTGGAGGAAACCTGACACCATCCCTACGGTGAAGCATGGTGGTGGCAGCATCATGTTGTGGAGATGTTTTTCAGCTGCAGGGACTGGAAGACTAGTCAGGATCGAGGGAAAGATGAACAGAGCAAAGTACAGAGATCCTTGATGAAAACCTGCTCCAGAGCGCTCAGGACCTCAGACTGGGGCGAAGGTTCACCTTCCAACAGGACAACGACGCTAAGCACATAGCCAAGACAACGCAGCAGTGGCTTCGGGACAAGTCTCTGAATGTCCTTGAGTGGCCCAGCCAGAGCCCGGACTTGAACCCGATCTAACATCTCTGGAGAGACCTGAAAATAGCTGTGTAGCGACACTCCCCATCCAACCTGACAGAGCTTGAGAGGATCTGCAGAGAAGAATGGGAGAAACTCCCCAAATACAGGGGTGCAAAGCTTGTAGCATCATACTCAAGAAGACTCTAGGCTGTAATCGCTGCCAAAGGTGCTTCAACAAAGTACTGAGTAAAGGGTCTGAATACTTATGTAAATGTGATTTTTCAGTTTTTTATTTTTATAAATTTGCAAACATTTCTAAAAATCTGTTTTTGCTTTGTCATTATGGGGTATTGTGTGTAGATTGATGAGGGGAAAAAACTATTTCATCCATTTTAGAATAAGGCTGTAACGTAACAAAATGTTGAAAAAATCAAGGTTTCTGAATACTTTCTGAATGCACTGTAAGTACTTTATCGATATCAGACATTACCAGTTTAACACATCATTTTATTTTGCCTTTACAGTAAACACACAACTAAGAGCTTTTGTGCAACATGGAGTTACTGTATAGATTTTTCTTTAGCTTTTAACTCTGAGTCAATTTGTTTCAACATTTCAGTGTGACGAGAAGCTCCTCTGCAGACCCAGGTTAATAGAGTAATAATGCAGTTGGCTGGTATCAGTGGAAGTGCAGTGGGGTAATGGGGACTGGTCTGAGATGAAGGGAGGGATGGTATCATGGCAGCAGCATCTGCTATGTGAAATATCATGGTCATATTATTAACAGTTGGACAGACCAGGAGCTGTCAGCCAGGCTCAGTCAGGCTCAGGTTCAGGCTCTGAGGTTCTCACGCTCTGAGCCAACAGGACTGCAGGACAAGTCCAGCATTACACCCCGTCCCTCCCCTCCAGCCAAATTATGCCTCAGTGTCTGCAATTCACCTATTTCATATCCACACGATTGCTGGGTCATTTAGGACATACTGTAGGCTCATAGTTTAGTGGATTTGCTGAGTCTATCAACATTTTTGTCTAAAATGTTAGATAGTGTTCATGATGTGTGCTCAGTTCTGGTTCTATGGATGGTATAGTTGTACAGGTAGGTCTATGAGGTTTCATGCTAGAATTGTTCTTGAAAGAGACACATGTAGGTTAGAAAGTAGAGTATCACTGTTCCAGTTAGAAGCCTAGCACAAGAGAGAACCTCACAAATGACAGTTTGGAAACAAAGTAATTACATAAGCAACACAGTGGAGACTGCTTCTGACAGAATCCATAGGAGGGTCTAGGATCAGGGTGCCTTTATTTTTCTGGGACAATTACCATGTGAAATGTCCTGGGGTATGATGTCCTGGTTTGGCTCTGAATGGGATTTGGAATGGGGCTGAGTCTTTGCTGTATTATGTCAACCTTACTGGATTTGTCTCTTACCTTCTTATTTGTCCATATAGGTTAACCAGCCCCTTTGAGCCATATCCTGTAGAACCTGCACTATCTTCAGTTACAACTATATATCAGTGGTCACCAAACAGCAGAGAAAATATACAGACAGACAGATGCAGGGTTGTCACTAGTTTACACAGCCACAAAGTCTTAATTATGACTAAACTCTGCCCATTTCCACAATTTATCTTCTTAAAATCAGATTTTAAACCTAACCTTAACATTAAATTAAGACCAAAAAGCACATTTTTGTAGCCAATATTTTACTGTGGCTGTGGAATCTGATTTTGTGGCTGTGGTACCTAGTTCAAACCCAGATGCAGAATCACAATGCAGAGAGAGAGAGAGAGAGAGAAGAGAGAGTAGAGAGAGGAGAGAGAGAGAGAGAGAGAGAGAGAGAGAGTCAGATAGAGAGGATGAGAGAGGGATAGCGAGAGATAGAGAAGATAAGACTATCGTCTACGCTCTCTCTATCTCTCCTCTACGCATCTCTCGCTGCTAGGGACTGAGAGTCTCATCTCTCTCTTCTCCGGGCTCTTCTCCTCTCTCTCCTTCTCTCTCCCTCTCTTCTCTTATCCTCTCGTCTCTCTCTCTCTCTCTCTCTCTCTCTCTCTCCTCTCCTCTCTAAGCACGAGTCTCTTCTCTCTCTCATCTCTCCTCGCTCTCTACTTCTCCTCTCATGGTCTCTCTTCTCCTCTCCTCTCGTCCATCCGGCACTATCAAAGTCTTCTCTCTCTCAACTCTCCTACTCTCATCTCCTCCTGTCTCTGGCATCTAGATGTCAATCTCCTCTCTCTCTCTCTCTCCTCTCCTCTCCCTCTCTCCGCTCCCTCCTGCCTCTATCTCTCTCCTCCCTAGGAGAGCGATCGATCGATCTCTGCCCTGTGGGTCGTTCCATTTCATTCCAGCAAGCCATGACACCCACTATCTCAGATTATTCTGTAGTTACAAACGGATAACTTTAGCATTCCTGCAACATTATTTTGTTGAAAAACCCACCCACGGACCCACCACACCAATCCCACCCTAACAATGAGGATACTGTATAATTTCTCTATGTCTGACAAGTAGTATGGAGCTGCGGCTCTGAGTATAGTTTCTTCATCCTATGTAATGTATTCTCAGTGAATTTTGTGTTCCCCCCCCCTTTTCAGAGAAATTAGTCATGGAAGTGCAACCTTCATCCTGATATTACCAGGTTCTGACCACTAGATGGTGCTGTTTCTACTTTAATTTTAATTTGAAAGAACCCCCCTTCAATGTTAAAGGGATAGTTCACCCAAATTACAAAATTACATATTAGTTTCCTTACCCTGTGAAGGCGTCAGCATGCTTCCATTCGGCTGGCGCCTAGCCAAACTCAGCTACCAAACCAAACAAGTGTGCTCGCATACTCCCTTAAAAGACCTTTACTTGAAAAATGACAAAAGAAGTGGCAACAGTACTGTTTGTCCATTTTGAGACACCATCTAGTGGTCAGGACCTTTTTTTGTCTTGTTTACCTGCACTGTTGGAGCCCGGAGCATAAGATTTTCAATGTACCCTGCAATTACATCTGCGCCCCTGTACATATCACTAATAAACTAAATCTAATATATTTTATATTTTTTTGTATTTTACACACTTTTTCTCCAAAATGTTGATCTTGTCTCATCGCTGCAACTCCCCAACGGGCTCGGGAAAGGCGAAGGTCGAATCATGCGTCCTCCGAAACATGACCCGCCAAACAGCGCTTCTTAACACCCGCCCGCTTAACCCGGAAGCCAGCCGCACCAATGTGTCAGAGGAAACACTGTTCAACTGACGACCGAAGTCAGCCTGCAGGCGTCCCGGCCGCCACACAAGTCACTAGAGCGCAATGAGCCAAGTGAAGCCCTGCTGGCAAAACCATCCCCTAACCCGGACGACGCTGGGCCAATTGTGCGCCGCCTTATGGGACTCCCGGTCATGTGACAAAGCCTGGGATCGAACCCGGGTCTGTAGTGACGCCTCAAGCACTTAGACCGCTGCGCCACTCCGGAGGCAAACTAAATCTAATCTAATCTAAACCTGGTAATGTCAAGATGTAGGATGGGACATAAACCTAACAATTCCAATGACAAATGTCTCTGAACAGGGGAAAAAACACAAAATTAATTGTAAATACATTACATAGGATGAAGAAACAGTTCTCATACTACTTGTCAGACATAGAGAACTGATACTATATACTCGTTGTTGGAGTGGGATTGGCGTGGGTTGTGGAGGGTGGCTTTTGACAATTTCTTTGGATTCCTCATGTCTAACTCATTGTAAGAAAAAAGTTGGGCCCAAATCGGATGTTAGGTGCTATATTTATTGAATATTATATGAATCCTATAAATTGCAATCAATTAGCTTAATTTCTCAGAGATCAAATTATATTTCAACAAAATAATGTTGCAAAAATGCTAATCTAACAACAGAAACAATTTCAGAACACTCTGAGATGGTGGGTGTCGAAATCCTCTTTCTTGTGCTTTTTGAGGTGGAACGACCCCTGTGTGAGTTTCTGCAGCATTACTGTGCTGCATTGGGGCAGAGAGAGATAGTGTGTGTGTTCGTGTGTGTGTGTGTATGTGAAAGAGAAAAAGAGGGAAGGAGTCTGTGAGTGAAGGAGTCATTTTGCTCCCCCACTGTGCAGCCCTCACTGGAGTTTACAGCCATGTATTATCCCAAACTGCAGGGGGATGGGCTTGTCCAAACCTGACCTTGAGTTGGTTATTGATGATGTGTCACACAGCTGAGGTGTGATGTAAAAACAGAGAGGGAGGAAAAATGTTCAGGAATGGGGGCTGCAGAGGGACAAACAGAGCAAGAGAAAATGGGATAGAAAGGGACAGACAGGACAGTTAATACTATCGTTTAGTGAATTTGAGGAGAGGACAGACTGGGCAGAGGGAGAAAGTGTGTGAGCAGCATTACTGTATAGTCCCAGTGAGTGTATGTACCCAGACTAACCATCCATCATCTTTAGGTCCACTTGAGAAGTGTTGGTGTTGGCATTATCTGGATTGTGTTAAAGAGGTGGTGGGACCTGCGTTTTTTGGATTCCCTTAAAGGGGAGATGAGCCCGAACTCATTTGCTAATTACTGAGTTTAATGAGCCTGCATTGAGTTAAATGGCCTCACAACATCCCAAACACTGTAATAAAATACTACACACACACATTTACATTTACGTCATTTAGCAGACGCTCTTATCCAGAGCGACTTACAAATTGGTGCGTTCAACTTATGATAGCCAGTGGGACAACCACTTTTTTTTGTGGGGGAGGGGAAGGTAGAATGATTACTTTTATACTATTCCAGGTATTCCTTAAAGAGGTAGGGTTTCAAGTGTCTGTGTAAGGTGTAAATGTTGTAGAGCATGAACCTGCAGGATCGGGTCACCGCTTTGATGTTAGCGGAGAACGACAGGGTGTTGTCCTGGGTCACGCCAAGGTTCTTTGCACTCTGGGAGGAGGACACAATGGAGTTGTCAACCGTGATGGCGAGATCATGGAGCGGGCAGTCCTTCCCCGGGAGGAAGAGCAGCTTCGTCTTGCCGAGGTTCAGCTTGAGGTGGTGATCCGACATCCACACTGATATATCTGCCAGACATGCAGAGATGCGATTCGCCACCTGGTTATCAGAAGGGGGAAAGGAGAAAATGAATTGTGTGTCGTCTGCGTAGCAATGATAGGAGAGACCATGTGAGGATATGACAGAGCCAAGTGACTTGGTGTATAGAGAGAATAGGAGAGGGCCTAGAACTGAGCCCTGGCGGACACCAGTGGTGAGAGCACGTGGTGCAGACAGATTCTCGCCACGCCACCTAGTAGGAGCGACCTGTCAGGTAGGACGCAATCCAAGAGTGAGCAGCGCCGGAGATGCCGAACTCAGAGAGGGTGGAGAGGAGGATCTGATGGTTCACAGTATCAAAGGCAGCAGATAGGTCTAGAAGGATAAGAGCAGAGGAGTGAGAGTTAGCTTTAGCAGTGCAGAGAGCCTCCGTGACACAGAGAAGAGCAGTCTCAGTTGAATGACCAGTCTTGAAACCTGACTGGTTTGGATCAAGAAGGTCATTCTGAGAGAGATAGCAGGAGAGTTGGCTAGAGACGGCACGCTCAAGAGTTTTGGAGAGAAAAGAAAGAAGGGATACTGGTCTGTAGTTGTTGACATCGGATGGATCGAGTGTAGGTTTTTTGAGGATATGGCCAGCGGTCAAGGATGAGTTGATGAGCGAGGTGAGGTAAGGGAGAAGTTCTCCGGAAATGGTCTGGAGAAGAGAGGAGGGGATAGGGTCAAGCAGGCAGGTTGTTGGGCGGCCGGCCGTCACAAGTCGCAAGATTTCATCTGGAGAGAGAGGGGAGAAAGAAGTCAAAGCATAGGGTAGGGCAGTGTGAGCAGGACCAGCGGTGTCATTTGACTTAGTAAATGAGGATCGGATGTCGTCAACCTTCTTTTCAAAATGGTTGACGAAGTCATCCACAGAGAGGGAGGAGGGAGGGGGTGGAGGAGGAGGATTCAGCAGGGAGGAGAAGGTGGCAAAGAGCTTCCTAGGGTTAGAGGCAGAGGCTTGAAATTTAGAGTGGTAGAAAGTGGCTTTAGCAGCAGAAACAGAGGAAGAGAATGTAGAGAGGGAGTGAAAAGATGACAGGTCCACAGGGAGTCTAGTTTTCCTCCATTTCCGCTCGGCTGCCCGGAGCCCTGTTCTGTGAGCTCGCAATGAGTCGTCAAGCCACGGAGCAAGAGGGGAGGACTGAGCCGGCCGGGAGGATAGGGGACATAGAGAGTCAAAAGATGCAGAAAGGGAGGAGAGGAGGGTTGCGGAGGCAGAATCAGGAGATCGGAGGGAGAAGGATTTAGCAGAGGGAAGAGATGATAGGATGGAAGAGGAGAGAGTAGCGGGAGAGAAAGAGCGAAGGTTGTGACGGCACATTACCATCTGAGTAGGGGCAGAGTGAGTAGTGTTGGAGGAGAGCGAGAGAGAAAAGGATACAAAGTAGTGGTTGGAGACTTGGAGGGGAGTTGCAGTGAGATTAGTAGAAGAACAGCATCTAGTAAAGATGAGGTCAAGCAATGCCTGCCTTGTGAGTAGGGGGGGACGGTGAGAGGGTGAGGTCAAAAGAGTAAAGGAGTTGAAAGAAGGAGGCAGAGAGAAATGAGTCAAATGCAGACGTAGGGAGGTTAAAGTCACCCAGAACTGTGAGGGACTTATCAAGGCGTCAAGCTCATTGATGAACTCTCCAAGGGAACCTGGAGGGCGATAAATGATAAGGATGTTAAGCTTGAATGGGCTAGTAACTGTGACAGCATGGCATTCAAATTAGGAGATAGACAGATGGGTCAGGGGGAAAAGAGAGAATGTCCACTTGGGAGAGATGAGGATTCCTGTGCCACCGCCGCGCTGACCAGATGTTCTCGGGGTATGCGAGAACACATGATCAGACGAGGAAAGAGCAGTAGGAGTAGCAATGTTTTCTGTGGTAATCCATGTTTCCGTCAGCGCCAAGAAGTCGAGGGACTGGAGGGTAGCATAAGCTGAGATGAACTCTGCCTTGTTGGCCACAGAACGGCAGTTCCAGAGGCTGCCGGAGACCTGGAACTCCACGTGGGTCGTGCGCGCAGGGACCACCAGATTAGAGTGGCAGCAGTCACGCGGTGTGAAGCGTTTGTATGGCCTGTGCAGAGAGGAGAGAACAGGGATAGACAGACACATAGTTGACAGGCTACAGAAAAGGCTACAATAATGCAAAGGAGATCGGAATGAAATTAACTAAACATCTGGGAAAGCGAGAGAGTGGGGCCTCCCTCACTTACGTTTCACTGAAACACTCAAATATAACTCTCCCAACTTCCACTTTAGAAATTATAATTGTTGTAAACTACAGCGGTTCAATGTTTTCTAGGAATAGACTCTAACTTAGTTTATTCAGCTAGCTAATTTGGTACAGTGTTCTTCCGTGAAAACCGCCCAGGGCACCGTATCCTATGACGCCATAGCTAACTAGCATGCTAGCTTCCAATAACACGGTTTAGCACCAATACTCGGTTATAACAAACTACCAATAGTGTGTTAACACGCTAAACAGATCATTTGTGTCGTGTCTAACGTTGTGTAAAGTTTTGGGGTTCGTTTTGACAGTTTGAGTGAGTACGTCGTCAACTTATTCAGCCAGTTAGTTATCTAGCTAGAATAGTTAGCATATTAGCTAGCCAATGCTCTCTGTCAACGAACCAACCCCTCCTCCCACGGTATGAAACACACAGAGAGAGCCAAGCTAACGTTAACTAGTCACCCATGTCTTGAATTCCTTTTGAACGACTCTGGTTACCAGTATGTAAAAATAAAATAAAAATATATGTAGGTTATAACTTACCCTTAGTAGCTACTGTTAGCTAGTTAAGTGTAAAGCTAGCTACTGAATCGATTTAGCCAGTTCGCGTCTGTCCCGTTAACGCTTCAGATAATGAAGTTAGAAAAACAGCTGAATGGTAGGTAGCTAGCTGGCATAATTACAGGTACTCTTAAGCGTGAAATAACATTGGAAACAACTATCCACAGTTGCTAATAGTTACCTGTAGCTACCCGCTAGCTAGCTAGCTTTATTGGTCCAGGTAATGGGTTAGCTAGCCTCGTGCTTCACCGGGCTCAGCCGAATACAATACTTACCTACAATAATTACCTACAATAACTACCTAGATAAACTACCTACAATACCTAACTACCATACCTACCTACAATCTAAATACATGGTTTAAGCTTTATTCGACACCATATAAAGAAGAAGCAAAGCTTACCTCCCGCTTAGAGAAACACAATCTCACCCCATCGCCACCTCTCTCACACACACACACACACACACGTACACACACACACACACACACACACACACACACACACACACACACACACACACACACACACACACACAATAACTGTACATACAGATGTAGGATCTTAATTTGAGCAAGTTTGCTACAGCAGGAAAATAATCCTGCAGCAACAGGAAATGTAAATTATTATGTGGATAAAAATTAATGGACATTTTTTGTAGGGGTTGAAACATTTTTCATTTCAAAGGGGAAATTACACATTTTAGACGCCTTTTTAAAAGCTCACAAACACCACAAGTTTAAAATGTCCTACATTTCCTGCTTATGTTATTTTTTGTATTATATTGTTATTGATAACTGCATTGTTGGTTTTAGAGCTTGCAAGAAAGTCTCTCTCTCTCTCTCTCTCTCTCTCTCTCTCTCTCTCTCTCTCTCTCTCTCTCTCTCTCTCTCTCTCTCTCTCTCTCTCCCTCTCTCCCTCTCCCTTCCCCCTCACAGAGTGCAGCACAATTTGACAGGGTTGTAAAAGAGAGGAGCTGGCTTGTTATGCACTTGTTAAGTAAAATAGATGATATTTCAGGAAGGATTTAATTCTGGAAACAGTATCCATTGAAATGTTGAAACCACATGAGTAGACTGTGTACTTTAATTTCTTACTCAGGTGTGTGTTGTCTTTTCCCTTTCTGTATTTCTCAGTAGTATTGTGTACTACCTTTTACATTCTCCCTCCCAGGTGTGTGGTCTGCTCAGGGCCTGGAGATGTCCACAGGGAAGGTCCCGTTCCTGGAGGCGTTGAATGGCAGTACTGTGGTGCTACCCTGCACCTACGCCAGCTGTATCGGCATCAAAAACCTTTACTTCAACTGGCAGTACAACGACAACGGCACTATGCAGAAGGTGGGTCAGAGCTGCCCTGGCCCACTGCAACAACAGCAGCCACACAACTACTGTCATTTATGTCAGCTCAGATCTCACACAGATAGCGGCAGGGCTGGGATATTCAAAGTCAGTGTGGGGAGGTTATATTTTCAAGTGTTCTAATTTAGGGGGTGAAGATCAATGGTTTTCTGCATCAGTAAGTGATATCTCTAATGTGAGTGTTTGATTGGAGTTGTGGTCAGATATTGTGAGTGTCAGATGATTGACGACTGCCTGGTCCTCTCAGGTGTGTGAGTCTGTGATTCCGTCAGACGGGATGGATCCCCATCCAGTGAGTATCTACCGGGAGCGGGTGGAGTTTATCGGCACCAGTGATCACAACAACATCTCCATCCTGCTTTCGAACATCACCTTCGAGGACGAGGGCCAGTACACCTGCTTCGGACGCAACCCCAAAGAGAAGGGCAAGAACCACAGCGCTATCTTTACCCTTGTCGTGGTGGACGAGTGTGAGTAATAACTAGCGTTCTCTTTGCTTTACTGCAGGCAGATCATATACTGTAGGTCCTCTGGTGCTGCCAATGGGCAGGGCGGGTAGTCAGGTACTATATGGGCAACAACATCTAGATGTGTTGTGCTGTGTACGATGCACTGTAGGTAGGTACTGTCTGTCTGATCACCCTCTACCTTCTCCTCTCCCTGGTTCCTTCTCGGTAGTACGAGTGGTGGACAACACTCTCACCATCATAATTGCTTCTGCAGTGGGCGGAGCCATCGCCCTGCTGATGACTTTCATGCTGGTGAAGAACTTCATCCTCTTCGTTCTCTTCAAAATCGAGGAGAAGAAGTGAGTAAGACAGATATAGGGCCACAGAGAGTAGCGAACTGGCCATCCACACAGAGAAACACCTTTAGCTCATCTTGGTGCCTCCAAACTGGATTAAAGCATCAATACAGTCGGGCTACAATGTCAAATACGTAGAAAAAGCAGGTGTCTCTTCTAACCCTCCTCTTTCCTCTGCTCCTCCCATCCACAGAAAGATCGAGTGCCTTGTACAATCTTCCTCAGCAGATGAAACAAACAATGTCTCAGGATCCAAAACTTCAAAACCAACGACACCAAAGAAGAAATGAGAGTACTTGCATGTATGTACATCCATATATAAATATACAGTTATATCTATGCATATATTTATATGCACAAACATGTGTACGCACTCATGTGACTCCATGGGCAGGTTTCTTGGGCAGGTTTTTTGGACTGAGAAGCACGTCTGATGGAGATTCTTCATTGAAAGTGTTTGTTAGTCCAATAAGCTTAGGCTGTGTCCGGGAAACCGCCCCCATATGTTCAAGTTGATATATTGTTTAAAAGAAACTCTTAAACCTAGGACTGTTTTTCATAAGATAATTTTAAAAAATGTATTAATTGAAAATACGCTTGAAATGGGGAATAATGCGATGTCATAATGTTGTTTAAACTGTACTGGATCCTGCTCCTCTCTTCACCAACCCCACTACCCTGGGCTTAACTGAAACTGTCTACAAATTCAAATATTGTGTTTTGTGGAAAAAAATATGGGATATTATTCACTGTCTAATTCAATCTCCAGTGACATTATGCCACTTCAGATTCAGCTTCAGTCCTATTCAGTAATGCTCTGATTCACATAGAGTTGAGTTTAGTCTAGTGTTGTCTAGATAGAATACAATGATATTAACTATGCCTATCAAAAGTGATTCATTAAGCCTATTTTATAATATTTAGAAACAAAGGTCTCTAAAAGGGTGATGCTGTGGTGAGGAGTTAGAAAGGATCCAGTTCAGAACTGAATACACTTTCTTTGCTTGATATAAAACACTGGTGCCTGTTAGCGCTTCTATCTTCCTCTGCTGATAGGGAAGACTAAATACTGAAAAACCATTTACCAAATGCAGCAAAACGCAAGCGAATAATACTGCAAGCTGATGAATGAAATTATAGACAATCCCTTGAAACCAACCCCCTAGAAAAAAAGAATAAACCTCTAATAATGCTGCTTTTAAGACAAATTACCTTTTAATGCATTTATAAGCATGTGAAACCCCAGGGCAGATTTAGAGACACAATGCTTGACAATAGACATGTACTCTCTCTTGTGTTCTTTTCTTGAATCCAAGATTTAACCACATGTAATGTGGTAAGTTCTATTTGCTTTGAAGCTGGATCTAAATCTCCTCATATCATGCCAACCCCCACTACATCCAGTGTGCCAACCATGGTTGGCAAGGCTATGCACACTATTTGGTAAAGTGGGTCTTCTGGCTTGAACATTAACTACCCCCCACAGAAATACCCGCCACATTTCTTATAGTAAGTCACTTACAAATAGATCTCTCTTTGCTGTACAGAGCACATTCACTCAGACCCATTTTTTTTACACACTGCAATAAGTACTCATAAGCTGCAGTGCAGCAGAATTTATGATGGTTCATTCATGGCTCATGATTCAACACAAATTCAGCATATCCATCAGCTACAGTCATTACGGATACCTTCACTAACTACACCATAAAGAGATGCATGGGGCAGCAGTTATGTTGCAGGTAGAGTGAAAGACTGGAACATATCTTTACTGGACAGTGTAGAATAGACACACAACTAATATCCCATATTTAGCCCATTTATTGTGCCAAACTGGGATAACCCTGAGAAACCAACATCTGATCAGGAATGGGATGTCATCGGGTTGCTAAGTTACTATGGAAACCCATTGCTACTGAACTGCAATGTCAAGATACAATAGTGGCATGTTTAACTCACTGAATGTATTGTTTTCAAAATACCTCCAGTGCGTGACAGAATTGAGGGAAAACCATGTTCAGGGAAGAAGTTCACATCAATGTCCATTGTCCAGGAACTTGCTGAATCTGTCATTGTATAAACATAACAAATATACCTCCCTCAATCACTTGCTGAACCTGTTTCTAATGTGGACAAGCCCTGGTATTGCTGTTCCCATGGCATAGCCCTTCAAATAAATGCACTGGGTTGTAGCAATAGCAGGAAGGTCTTTTGGGCACTTTACCTTAGATATGTATATTATTTGGCTGTGCTATTTATGTGTGTAAACCACAGAGATGTGTTGTATCGGTGGAGCAGTGAGTAAATGGCTGTATATTTAACATGAGGGTAAAGTTGGCCGCTGTCTTAGATGAGAACAGACAGACACCATGGTTAGACCATCGACAATAGTACATGTACTTTCTCTGGTTGGACATTGCTTTGAGCTTGTGGCACTGAATCCCTGGCTGATTCATACTCTCTTAAGATAAGTGATACTATGCAAACACAAACACCACTACTGAGAGGAAGACGCACTGTAGGACAGGCTTCTGCAGTTCTCTCAGTGGGCTCTGCTTTCACAACGCTGCCCTGACATCACAGCAACATGACTATAGCTACTGCAGGATTCCAATAAACGATTTTGAGTTCCTTTTACTGTGATTAGAATGTAAGCAATAAAAATGACAAGAGCAACAGTAATCAAAGTGGCTTATGGGAAATGGTGTTCTGATGAGCTGATCCAGGTTGGATGAGGAACATAGGCTTATGGTGCAGGGGATTTCAGCCCTTGAGGTCTGCAGCACTGCTATATTTCATTGTTTTTAACCAGGGACTGTCTGGTTCAGACCTGTGACACCACCTGTTAACAGATTTTCTGGCCAATCAATTATATTATTCAATCAATTAACTATAAAGGAGAAGTACAGAGTAGTGCAGACCTCGCTGCTCAGATTTGAATACTTATTTTGCCTGTAATGCACTGATGTATAGGCTTCCCCTTCTCACTCTGGGAAGCTAGCCTCCCTTTTTCTGTTACAATATTTGGCCCTTTGTGAATGTTTGGAAGGCACAGAGTAGTGTCTTCTCCCATGTCTAGTCTAGGTCAGTTGTGATGTGTAGAAATCTCAGTGGAGATGGTGTCCAGTGTGAAAAGACCTTACAAGGTTCCTGAATGTTAGAACCTATGGAGATATGCAATATACAGTATGTCATTTAAAGGAGTAAGATTTAAGCCATAAATCCAATTTCTTGTTTTAAGACTGCTTACAAATGCTTAAAAATGACAGTACAGTTTAGAAGTTTTGTACTGCTAATGTTCTTGCTATTGTTGTCAACCTCACAAACGAGAACCAATCGTAATACAGGAAGTTGTACACAACTAATTTGCAGTATCACGCAGCATTCTAAAAAGTAGATTTTATTCTTGTGATATCTATTCCTTTGCTACTACTGGTATGTAATCGACATTTGGCACTAGTTGCAGGTGGAAATGTTACATGTATAACCTCTAAACAAAGCCTAACTGTGAAAGTGACTCACGTGTTCTGTTGAAATGCCCTTACACAGTTCTGGATGACCTAGTACCAACTGTCTTCCTTGTACCCTTTATTTTGACAACTGTACAGAAAACTGGATAGGAAATTATGAGAACACTGTTTTACCAAGTTGTAGTAGCGGAGTTGATTAAATAGTGACCTCTCATCCATTATTGCACTTAAGACAACAGAACATTTGAATCTATAATATACCCAGACATTACTGACCACTTGGTCCCACATTCCTCTTCCAACTAATGAGCAAGGCACTTAACCCTAATTGCTCCTGTAAGTCGCTCTGGATAAGAGCGTCTGCTAAATGACCAATTTATTTTATTATTTATGAATGTACAGACATTTCTTCCTATTCCCTCAAATGATGCCCCCCATGTAATCTCTCCATCATGCATATCCGCTCAATTTTTATTTATTATAAAAAGCCACAAGAATCCAATAAACTTTTGAATACAACCGTGCGTTGTCATTTTTTGTTGGTGGTCAAAATTGGACAATGCATTATCAATCAACCATAAAAAAATACAAAAATCATATTTATTAAAACAAATCATTTAAAATACATACATAAAAAAACCTCATACAGTACTTACATCTCTCAAAGAGAGTATAAAATAAGAATACAAATAAACTTCACAGGTCAGTATTGTGAGTCAGTGCAATGTGTTTGTCAGATCCAATCAGCGCATATTGAGAAAGAACACAAGTCAGTTTAGTTACCGCCGAGAGAAACTGGATTTTCAGTAGTACTGGAAAAAAAAGGAGAACCAAATCGTATCAGGTAAGGAATTTCAATGACATCTGTAAAAACTGGGAATGCAACAATGAGGTATCTGTTATCCATCACATACTCTGCAATAGACCCCAGCGTTCTCCGAGCGGGCACAGCCTACCCCCCAGCTCACCACCCCCACCAGCCGCCAAAAAACCTGGATAGGAACACGAAGGGACCCCCACTGTCACCCTGGGAGAGAAAGAGGGAGTGAGAGCGACAGAAATGTCATTAGAAGACATAAATGCAAAGTATGACTGCATTGGCAGTGTGATAGTCTATCAAACTTACTAAAGGTAGACATTTTGTAGGCCTGTGTGTATTGGTGGAGGAGCTTTACCTGACACGAGTCCACTTTGCCCTCCATGTTCACTGCGCACAGCATTCTGGGAGTGATTGAGGGGCCGTTGACGGAGGGGCGGGAACACCCTTTCCTGTCAATCAGAGACACAGTGGCGCTCCGCAGGACTAAGGAGATTTTACCTGGGGAAGAGGAGATAACAGGTAGCCTCTTACACTAACACCACAAGAAAGCTGAACGGACAATGGTCAGACACGGAAGTGTGAACTTGTACACGCGCTATCATTGTTGGGGCTTTTGTCTACATTAGCTGGTTTAACATGGATTGGATGTATGATTAAGCTTGGTTATAGACCTGCCTTCTGCTCTGTACAGATAGCCCTACCCAGGCTCACCTTTCTCCTGCTGGAAGCCCCAGCCAGTCACCACTAGGGGGTCTCCTGCCTTCAAGGCAGGCTATGGAGGGGGGGTGGGGCAGGCACACTGGGCGGATGGTGTCTGGAGACAGTCAAGACATTGGCTAATGTAAATCACTGCACAACATAAAAACAAACCACGACAAAGTGCCTAAATTAGGGTATCTAAAATAGGCGGCAGGTAGCCCAGCAGTTAGGTAGCCCACCAAAAAGGTTGCTGGTTCGAATACCTGAGCTGTCAAGGTGAAAAATCTGTCGATGTGCTCTTGGGCAAGGCACTTAACCCTAATTTGCTCCAGGGGTGCCGTACTACTATGGCTGACTGCACTATAAACCCATAATTCATGATTTTCCGTTATCATGGTAGCATCCACATTAATGTAGAAGTGTTCAGAGACATTCTATTCTTATTTACAATAAAAGTGATTCCAAAATGACAATACATTTACCAATAATTAATATTAGGCACAACAACCAAAACAAACTGCAAATACATCAAACAAGTTTGTAGAGTCACAAGCTTGATAGTCATTGCGTGCAAGGAATAGGGGACCAAATATCACACTTTAATACACAAGTGAATTTGTCCAAATACTCATGACACCTTCAAAATGGGGGGACTAGATACATAAAATGCTTTCACTTCTAAACGGTCAAACATATGTATGAAAATACCCTAAAATAAAAGGTTACATTCTTTACTGTCACCTCAATTGAAAAATTTGATTTCAAATCCAAAATGCTGGAGTATAAAGCCAAATTAAAAGTTTTAGCTTCACTGTCCAAATAAATACATAGGGGAGTGTATACAGTAGATGCATATAACGGTATGCATCTGACGGAATAGAAGAAGAATGATGAGCTCTCATCTTACTGTGTGTATCCCAGCTGCTGACAGGCGATGGGTGTGGTTCTCCAGTCGTCTGCACACACGGCGCTCCATCCAGCTTCCACATTGAACACCTGTAGAACCATGTTCTTACCCACCAACCGCACTGAGCAGAAAGAGAGGAGGATGAGATAAAGGAGCAATTGGCTGTTGAAACAATAAAGCCAATTCCCCATCCGTTTCAGTAAAAGCTGAGGGATGGGGCTAGAGAAATGTAACCACTAAAAATCGTGGACAGAGCTATGATGCAAGGACTGACCTCCATGATATCAAAATTATATTTTGAACCATGTTTTAAGGCTATATAATGTTTGTTTATATTTACTTTGTTAACAAATATTGGCATAAAACAAGCTTAAAGTATATTTTATGTTCGAATGGGGTACAATAGTTAAACTCAGCTCAAGAGGCACTGATAAGTTATATTCTTCAAGAATCAATGGGTATATATCATTCATTTATAAGTCCAAAAATGTATGTTGCAACTGTAGAGTGCCCCTTTAAGAGAAAGAGGCAGAGAGAGGCATGGTGAGAGGAGAGGAAGATGATAGAGAAAAGGTAAACAGATGGAAGAGGTGGAGGGTGGTGCTGTTGGTCTTGCCTTGGAAAGTGGCATTGGCCGGTTGGCTGGACACAAGTGAGCTCATCCTCTTTACCGACACAGTCTGCTTTCCCATCAATGAACTTCAACGTCTGGGAGCAGAAGAAGAACTTGCTGTCGACAATATCCCAGACTGGAGCATAGGAGTGGAAGATATAGAATGGAAAGAGAAAGGAGAGGGGTGGAGAGAATGACAGGGGGGGGGAAAAAGAATCAGAAGGTTGACAGTGGTACAATTTTACGATACAAGCGACATTACAACAGGAATATGATTTAGAGAAACTCCAGACTTTAACTGTAGTTAACGTTTTTGGAGACATGAGATGGAGGGGGGACATACTGAAGTAAGCGCCCACTGCCAATATCCCCAGTGTGAACAGTACACAACACAGTGATAGGGGTCATCTTCTTCTTAGGCCCCTGGTTTCCTTGGTCCCGCCGGGCCACCGTAATCGTGTGAGAGAGGTGAGGACAGTTAAGGAAGTAAGATGTGAGTTGTAAAAAAATATATACAAAATTAAACGTTCTGCTCCTATTTGGGCACTAATAATAATAATAATAATAATAATAATAATAATCAGGCTACAGTATGTGCTACTCCAGGTAATATACTGTACAGCAATCTGTTTTAACTCACCTAGAGACAGGTCTAAATGTGTGGGCTTGTGCTTGGTGCTCTTAACAGTAGTGTGAGGGGGGCAAAGAGGCTCAACAGTAGAAACAGTATCTGAACCTCAAACATTTTCATGCAAATCTACATTTGTCATTAAATACACTTGTAGAGTGAAACGTACAGTTAGTATGTCCCTTTCTCATATCTTACCATGCGCCCACCAGGCTGTCCTCGCTCAGCTCTGCTGTTCTCTCTATCAGCTTCTCTCCAGAGGAGTCAGGTGGGGCTTCTGCCAAGCTCTAGAAAACAGCCTTCAAACAGAAAGATGCCACAATGCCATTACTCTCACAACCATTTCCTGTGACCTAGTCACCAATCAGCAGTCAGGGCGGGACCTTTGCTAATCAGTTTGGTGTAAGGAGGTGAGGTGATTAGTGGACTCAGGACTTTTTTGCACCTTGGCTGGTATGATACCAGAGGCGGAAGATGAAGCGAGACATCTCACTTGCTCCTTTTTTTCTGGTTCATATACAGTCAATTAGCTAAGCAGACCAGACCCAGCTGCTAATGAGGGGGTTCGATTAATCACGCCTGTGTAGGTGTGTTTTGCATCTGCTGAAAGTTGATTGCATTTGATTTGGAACCAGGCTGCCTCCCTGGCGTGATCCAGGTGCCTGCGCCGTCCGACAGCAAAGTCGGCTCAAAACAAAAGTGAAGTAATTAAGCATGTGTAGTAATTAGTAGGATAAATGTTTTTCTTATGCAAAAGTTATTACTTTTGATAAAAACGCTTTATCTGCCTTCCCAATTAAAACTAATTTGAAAATCCAAACATTTATTTTATGGAAAAGAGGTATGTTCCTGGGCGATGCACCATGCTGCCTTGTTGACAACATGACCGACTGGTGCAGATTACTGTTTGATTTGAGAAGGGTGCTCCTCCCTCCCCGCTTTCGCCCGGTGACAGGCCCGGGTTAAAAAACCAGGCCAGCGTAAAATAACTCCCTCACTGTACAGAGCAACTGCCCCATTGACAACATCAAAGCAACTATAAATTGTCATTTACATTGTGTAAATTGACGGTTCCCAACTAACCTCAGAGGCTAGCCAAAGTCTAACCAACTTTGCCACAGCTGAAGCAAATTGGCGCAATAATTTAGCTAACTCTTCCCACCTGTGAACACACGAGACACCATCAAGCCACACCCCGAAACCAACTGAAGTTTGAATTCAGTCATGGCCGCTTGCGTTTCTTAATAAACCAAATCTAAAACGAGGCCAAATCAGGAAGTACAGTAGCCCTTTAAGCAGACCAGAACTGTGACAATTTATTTTCAATGTTGACCGGCCTGAGTGGGACGTTTCATTTATCCACCGTCTTTAATTATACTACAGCACTGCAGGCCCAGCACTGTTACATTCCCCAGCAAGAAAACCAAAAATGTCACTCAAACAGAAGGGGGAATTAATAAAGAGAGTCACTGACTAACAACAAACGAAACAGGTGGGGTTTAGGAGGGGTTCTGAAAGACACTCATGGGGGTGTCCACTGAAAGTTGACTAGCAACAACAACTGGAACACCTTCCCACTAACGGGATGGCAACCAGCATAGGTGTAACACATGCTGATTAACGAGGTGACACCATTCGGTGCGCCCCACGTGCTAATGTACTAACTTGCTAACGTCTAACCTCGAAATATAAATGGAAAAACCAAAGCCTGTAACAACTGTTTGTCTATCTATCACATGGTTGTCAAAATACCTTATTGATCTCTACTGTGATGATTCTAGTATCCCATTTGAGTAAACTACTGTACATATTATTGACTGATCTATGTGAGTGCATCACCTCCCACTGTAAATTATCTGGATTCTGACATATAGACTAAAAGTACATGGTGAGGGGATGTGGTGAAACAGGTTTATGTGCTTACTGTAAATGTGCTTACTGTATATTACTGGGATGTCTTGGGTATATACCATCACTATCTTTATTATTGGTTTATTTTACAGTATATCTCTTTTCATTAGCTACTTGACTTATAATAATAATAATAATAATAATATGCCATTTAGCAGACGCTTTTATCCAAAGCGACTTACAGTCATGCTCTGACAGGGTTGTCAAATGCACACTTATTTGACATCTAGGGCTGTTATTCACCTATCAACATAGCTTTATCATACAACAGCCCAAGACAAAAAAAGAGAGAACATTACATGTTTTCATGAACATACTGTACAATACAGACTGTGTGGTTAACACTGCCCTCCCCAGTCCCATCCCTCCCATATAACCCAGTGCAGTCCTCCTGGCCCTAGAGGAGCAGAGTCAATCCCACATGTACATCAACATCCTGCCTCTGCTTAACTGTAGCCCCAATCCCTCGGAAGGTCTGTGCAGGCAGCAGCTCCTGTAGAGACACAGAAGAGCCTGTATCTGGTCTTACTCCTACTCCCCCAAGGGTCGAATAAAAACTGTAGACCCACCTATTTAACTGCCATTTTCCACCCCAAAATCCGATGTGCTGTTCTTCTCTCAGAACAGTATCTAGTTGTTAGTCCTATGCAGGCTTCCCTCAATTCCACGGGACTGACTGAGATCCACATTCTTATAGTAAAGCCCTGAATGACAGAATGTAGTGTGTAATGTAATTGTTTGGTGAATGATAGTACAAAAGAGTTATTGATGTATGACATGTCTCATTTAATTCAACATTCATTTTTATTTTCCTCATTGATCAGTCCTGGAGTTATGGTTATTTTGTTCTGTCACATGTGTAATTCTCAATTGAAACAGCAGATGATGCATTGAATGGTCACTGTAGGTCAGGGCCCTCCAACCTTGTTCCCGGAGAGCTATCCTCCTGTAGGTTTTCGCACCAATCCAAACCTGATTCCACTTATCAACCACCTAATTATTAGAATCAGGTGCGCTAGATTAGGGTTGGAGCGAAAACCTACAGGATGGTAGCTCTCCAGGAACAGGGTTGTAGAGCCCTGCTGTAGGTGTAGTAAAATGTGGCCACTTGGAGGTGAAAAGAGAAGAGAACACTACCATTGTCTTTGTTATATGCTTTTATAATATTCAGATGTACATACAAAAATATATTTGTCTGAGCTATCCAAACACAGTGGACAATCTGATACACACACAGGCACACACACACACACATGTTTGTTTTACTATCCTTGCGGGGACCAAACAACTGATTTCCATTCAAAATCCTATTTTTCCTAACCCTAAACATAACCCCTAACCCTAATTGTAACCCTAACCCTAATTGTATCCCTAAACCTAAAATAGCCTTTTTCCTTGTTGGGGACCGGCGAAATGTCCCTACTTGTCTGGGTTTTCCTTGTTTACTATCCTTGTGAGGGCTTCTGGCACGCACGCACACACACACACACACACACACACACACACACACACACACACACACACACACACACACACACACAACACTCATAGTCATACAGTCAGACCCCCCTTCTCTCTCTCTCTTTGTCCACAGAAACAACCTCTGACCAGGCACCAGTGAAAACTACTACTGCCCTGCTGACCTGTTGAGCAGAAATGCCCCTCCTTTGTTGTAATTTTAATACTTTTTTCCATTGAAAGTAAAAGACAGAGAAGCAACTGTAGGAAACAATGTACTTTTAGTTTGTTATTCTCATGCTCTCATCAGGAGAGTTGCATGTGCATTAATGGTTTTGGTAGAGCAGTTATAGTAATTGTTCTACTCTAAAAGAACATCCTCAGTTGGGACATTGATGGCTTTATTCCTGTAACCAAAATAACTGTAGTTGAGTCCTTGTGTGTACAAATCATCCTCCTACAGGACCTGTCACACTGACGTAAATCACTTGATCCAGAATGTGAAATGTATTGAAAAGGTACCTGTTTTGTCTATTTCAGATCCATGACAGCAAACATGTGTCTTTTCATGTGGGGAAGATACTCAAATAAGCTATTTTAGTTGTGGCATCATTGGTAGAGGTAGAAGTGGTTGCTTTTTGGGCTTTGTGTGTTATTCTTGTTTTTGACGGGTGTTAGAAACACTATTGTGCAATGCATCGGATGATTGTTTGTTCAATGTGTCAATGTATACTTGTCTTTAAATAAAAAAGTATAATAATCTTACAAAACATTCATGGAGTGAATTTGTTTTAATCTTCATAGATAACATAAGATATTGCATTGTAATTGTATTTAGTAATTCCAATGATCTCTTTAGAAAACAACATTAAAAAAAAAACGAATTAAGCATGTCTGCCTGTTGTGCATGTGTCACAAATCGTGTCACCCACTTTCCATGGTAGAACCAGTTTGGCCAGTATTGAAGAGGAAAGGAGGAGGTGGAGGGAGGGAGGGAGGATTGGATACCAGTGCACTTTGGAACGGACAGAGACTGGACAGAGACTTACGAAGCTATAGAATCTCTCCTGTAGAAGTGACCCAGACCCCAGTGAGACCACCTCAGACCCCAGGCCTCAGTGACTAGGCCTCCACACACACATATGGAACATGACCAGGTAAGTGGATTTACTCTCTTCTATAACTCATCGGACATTGTTGTTCCTACTTGGTTTGGGGACAAAACATTGTCAGGTCTAGTTTTGTCCCTGGTATGGCTGCAAGTTCGATAGACCTTGCATTTTTTATTTAAATGTGAGTTTAGTAGAAGTTTGAGGCATTTAAATGAGTATTTTATGGAATTGGATCTCGGCTTTGAATGTTTGCTAGTAAATTCAGTTGTGTTTCACTGATCAGTAATTTGCCATTCGGGTTTGGGTCCACTGAGTAGATTTTGGTTTGGGTCCACTGAGTAGACATATTGGTGCAACACTTCTCAGCATTGCTCACATTACCATAACAACACTTACCACATGCTTGTGATGCTGATGGGTGTGTGTGTTAGAATATTGCCAAGACCATGTCGTGGACTTACAAATTCCCCATATCAATGTTTGTCATACAGATGTTGGATCTTATCTTGATCACTCAAGAAAATTCAAATGAGCCTTGTGAATCCCTGAAAAATAGCAGTTCTCTTTCTCTTCATGCGGGGGCAGTCGAGTCACTGGGATCAGGGCTTGCTATCAAATTTTTTTTCTCTATCGCTCGCTCAAACACTAGGCCTAGGTCCTATCACTGCAACATTCAAATGTTCAAAAATGTATCTGAAATGCAGCCATACATACAGTGTATTCGGAAAGTATTGAGACCCTTTCACTTTTGCCACATTTTATTACGTTACAGCCTTATTCTAAAATGGATTAAATCGTTTTTTCCCCTCATCAATCTACACACAATACTCCATAATGACAAAGCAAAAACAGCTGAAATATCACATTTACATGAGTATTCAGACCCTTTACTCAGTACTTTGTTGAAGCACCTTTGGCAGCGATTACAGCCTCGAGTCTTCTTGGGTATGACACTACAAGCTTGGCACACCTGTATTTGGGGAGTTTCTCCCATTCTTCTCTGCAGATCCTCTCCAGCTCTGTCAGGTTGGATGGGGAGTGTCGCTGCACAGCTATTTTCAGGTCTCTGTAGAGATGTTCGATCGGGTTCAAGTCCTGGCTCTGGCTGGGCCACTCAAGGAAATTCTGAGACTTGTCCCGAAGCCACTCCTGTGTCGTCTTGGCTGTGTGCTTAGGGTCGTTGTCCTGTTGGAAGGTAAACCTTCGCCCCAATCTGAGGCCCTGAGCGCTCTGGAGCAGGTTTTCATCAAGGATCTCTCTGTACTTTGCTCCGTTCATCTTTCCCTCAATCCTTACTAGTCTCCCAGTCCCTGCCACTGAAAAACATCCCTACAGCATGATGCTGCCACCACCATGCTTCACCGTAGGGATGGTGCCAGGTTTCCTCTAGATGTGACGCTCGGCATTCAGGCCAAAGAGATCAATCTTGTTTTCATCAGACCAGAGAATCTTGTTTCTCATGGTCTGCGAGTACTTCAGGTGCCTTTTGACAAACTCCAAGCGGGCATGTGCCTTTTACTGAGGAGTGGCTTCTGTCTGGCCACTCTACCATAAAGGCCTGATTGGTGGAGTGCTGCAGAAATGGTTGTCCTTCTGGAAGGTTTTCCCATCTCCACAGAGGAACTCTGGAGCTCTGTCAGAGTGACAATCGGGTTCTTGGTCACCTCCCTGACCAAGGCCCTTCTCCCCTGATTGCTCAGTTTGGCCGAGTCTTGGTGGTTCCAAACTTCTTCCATTTAAAAATGATGGAGGCCACTGTGTTCTTGGAGACCTTCAATGCTGCAGACATTTTTTGGTACCCTTCCCCAGATTTGTGCCTCGACACAATCCTGTCTACGGTCAATTCCTTCAACCTCATGGCTTGGTTTTTGCTCTGACATGCACAACTGTGGGACCTTATATAGACAGGTGTGTTCCTTTCCAAATCATGTCCAATCAATTGAATTTACCACAGATGGACTCCAATCAAGTTGTAGAAACATCTCAAGGATGATCAATGGATACAGGATGCACCTGAGCTCAATTTCGAGTCTCATTGCAAAGGGTCTGAATACTTATGTAAATAAGCTATTTCTGTTTTTTATATTTAATACATTTGCAAAAATGTCTAAAAACCTGTTTTCGCTTTGTCATTATGGGGTATTGTGTGTAGATTGGGAAAAAAATAATTTCATCCATTTTAAAATAAGGCCTTGACTGTACATACAGTGCATTCGGAAAGTAAGGGGTCTGACTACTTTCTGAATGCACTGTATATTTGATCAGTTGTGTCTTTATAGTTTAGGGTTGTGTAGGATTTTGGCTAGAGTTAAACTTCAGATGTAATCATAGAAGGCATGCCTGTGTTTAGAATTTGATCATGTCCATAGCCTACTAATGCCAATCCCTACCTGACTCCCTTCTCTCCGCAGAACAGTGACCATCCGCCCCCATACTACATAGTAGCAGTGCCCACCCAGCCTCCTCCTCAGTATGGAGAGGTGGTGGGAACCAGAGGGTGGTCTGACGCCACCTTCCAACCTTACTACATCACCCAGCCTATACCACATGCAAATGTCATCCATGTCTCTCAGAGTGCCCGTAAGTTCCTCACATTCCCTTTACTTCCTCAATCCTCAATATATATTCCTTTCCCTAACTATAACTATAACTCTTTCTATGAGAGGGCTCCATCTCTCTCTCTCTCTCTCTCTTTCTAAACCTAAAATGTCCCTGTTTCTCCCCCCTGCAGCCTCTCGTCGTAAGAAATGCTTGTCGTGTGGGAACAGTTCCCACTGTTACGGAGGATCAGGAGGAGCCACCCTACTGCTTGTCCCCCTCGCTATCGCTCTCTGGCTGGGAGGTAACTGGACCAATAACTTACAGAGAACCCATACAGTACAACATACAACTATGTGTACATAATGTAACATAATTTTACATGGACATAATGTAACAATAAAAGATGTGAGAATTTATGACAGAAACATTTATTTCCAAAATCATAAATTCCATATTTAGGGTATCATGTGTATATGAATGTAATATACCGCATATGATATTGCATTGTTTTGGTATAACCTCTGTCCCTGGTGTCTGGCTACCTAAGCAGCAGTGAAGCCTACCAGCCCAGCGAGATGGAGAAAGACAGCTGTCCCTCCAACACTGTGGAGTGTGATGCCCGACAGGAATGCAAACTGGGCAGAGATGAGACCAATTGTTGTCAGTACCCCTGTAGCTACACCTAGTTTTTGTTGTCAGTAACAAAAAGAGAAGCAACCTTTCTGGATCTGTAATTGATTTATAATGTTCTAACTGAGTGATGCATCTGTGTGATCCAGTGATGTTCTAATTGAGTGATGCATCTGTGTATTATCCAGTAAGGTTCGGGTCGAACGGGGCTCTCCAGGTGAAGACAAACAGCGCTGGAAGTTTCCTCCCTGTGTGTTACAATGGCTGGAACAAGGGACTGGCTGACCAGACCTGTGCACAACTAGGCTTCAGAGGGTAAGATCTTCCCCTGTTTGACTGTACCCATCAAATCAAAATCAAATGACATTTTGTTCGTCATGTACACAGTTTACAGAAGGTATAAAAGGTGCAGCGAAATGCTTGTGTGCTAGTTCCCTCCATATTGCAGTACAATAATCAATAATCAATGGTTTAGTGGTGTGAGGTAGTGATGTGGGCGACGTGTATATGAACTTCTCTCTGCATCTATTTATTTAGGAGTCATAGCACTAGCAGTGTGAAAGATGGATCCTCTACCACTCTCACTGTGACAGGGCAGACCTGCAACACCATCCAGGGAAAGGTGTCAGTAAAGTAAGTACTCCTGTACACACTCAACAGCCCTTTGCATATGTCACACACTGAGTAATAATTTACATGCCAATTTGTGTACATAGCTGCGGGAAGTAGGGATGCTGCAGCACCCCCTGAATAATCAGAATATATATATAGAAAAATATATATATGTGTTTGTGAAATGTATACATTTTTCACAAAAGTAGTGCACTGGGCCTTTACCAGTCCTGTATTAGCGGACCGATATAGCTGTCTGTAGCCGGGCCCCAACAAAATGTCTTCCCCCCCCAAATGGCGAAAAAAACACAGCACCCCCAAATATCTTCCTGTGGCTATGGTTGTGTATAATACATCAAACAAAGTCAAAACACTTCACATATTTGTTATGATAAGAGACAACATGTACCAGAGCCAAAAATGCCACCATTAGATGGAGTGAGGAAGGCAAATAAAACATGTGACCTCATTGGTGATCTGATTTAAATGTGCTTTTCTGTCTGTGTTCAGTAGCTCATCCTGCCCCAACAAGGACACTGTCTCCCTGCAGTGTATCAGTGAGTAACTGTCTTTACATTCTCTCAGTTCATGCACAAAGGCAACCAGTGGTGTTTCAAGGCTGCATAGAGTTTGATCTAGCTCTCCTGATGAACAGAGGACCAAATACAAATCCCCATACTGTATTAGCACTATGGACCGACTATGGACGGACTTACTCCCTCTCTCTGTAGACTGTGGCCGGCAGCAGTCATCCAGAATCATAGGGGGCTCTGCAGCGAATCTGGGCAATTGGCCTTGGCAAGTCAGCCTCCACTTTCAGGGCTTTCACACCTGCGGAGGCACCCTGGTGGCGCCTGACTTTGTGGTGACAGCAGCCCACTGCTTCCCCAGGTCAGTACGGCAGACAACACAGCAGACAATGGACAAGGAACTGTGCTGAGACAATGTAAAGCAGAACAGTAATGACATTATCAAACAGAACATATAGAACAGCCCTGAAACGTAACAATGCTTAGACAAAATAACTGGGATATGACAGTGCAAAGATAGAACAGAGCTGGAACTGAACAAAGCTAACTGAAGTGAGCTAGCTAAAACTGAACAGTGCTTAGGATGAACATGGCTAAAACAGTTATCAGTGAAGAGTGAAATTACCTAACAACTCTTTTCTCTCTAGGAAGGACTCATCGTACCTGGTGCCCAATAACTGGGCATGGTTTCTCAGACGATGCTGCCTCTCCCTGAGATGGTGGAGAAGATCATTGTCCATGAGAGCTATGATGACAACACCAACAACTATGACATCGCCCTGCTTAAACTCACACATTATGTAGACTACTCCAGTGAGTTCACCTTTAACCTAACAATATTACATGATTATTGATGCACATTACACCATACTGGATCCCTATTATCTCTGATCATCATAATTAACGTGTGTGTGTGTGTGTGTTGTTTCAGACAGCATCCAGCCTGTGTGTCTGCCTGCCTATGACAAGACCGTCTCCCCTGGGACAGAATGCTGGACCTCTGGATTTGGGACAACAGAGGAGGGGGCAGGTGAGAGTCACAGGGACTGGCACAGAGGGGCAACTTTTTATGTTCTGTTTGGCATTGGGGTGAACATGAAGAGGAAATAGAAAAACAGCATGATAGGAGATGTGATGTGATTAAGGACTAGAAAACAATCTGGTGTGATATTCTGTATGGTAATATCTGGTTTGTTTGCTTTGTGTTCAGACCGTGGATCCACAAGTCTTATGGAGGTGACTGTGGACATTATTGACTCCAGTGTATGTAACAGAAACACAGTCTACAACGGCCAGGTCTCTCAGAACATGTTGTGTGCTGGAGATATGAAGGGAGGCAAGGACTCCTGCCAGGTGAGTGGAGGAGGACACTTGGACCCATCAGAGAACCAGACAGTAGCTACTTCCACACAGCTTCTTACATGAAGTCCACAAATCTTACCGTGTCGCTTTATTCCCTCCTTCCCTTTTCTTCTCTCCCTCTTCCTCTCCGTCTCCATTTCCGTCTCCCACTCCCCCTACCACTCCTTTCCTCCACTTGGGGGACAGTGGAGGTCCTCTGGTGTGTAAGGACTCAGACCAGCGCTGGTACCTGACGGGGGTGACCAGCTGGGGGGGTAGGCTGTGGCAGGAGGAACAGGCCGGGGGTCTATAGTCATGTCAGCCGCCTGCTGCCCTGGGTCTACAGTAAGATGCAGGTAGGGAAAGGAGCTCCCAGGATCACTGGGAAAGACACATGCTCAGACAACCAAGCAAGCATCCCAGAAGAAAAGTGCTCAAAATAGCCCACGTTAACATATATAGCTTAAGAAACAAGGTTCATGAAATCAATAATTTGCTAGTAACAGATGACATTCATATTCTCTGAAACTCACTTAGATAATACCTTTGATGATAAAGTGGTAGCAATACAAGGTTTTATAATTTACAGAAAATATAGAAATGCCAATGGTGGAGGTGTTGCTGTTTATATTCAGAACCACATTCCTGTGAAGATTAGAGAGGATCTCATGTTAAATACTGTTGAAGTAATATGGCTACAGGTTCATCTGCCTCACCTAAAGCCCATTCTGGTGGGAAGCTGCTATAGACCACCAAGTGCTAACAGTCAGTATCTGGATAACATGTGTGAAATGCTTGATAATGTATGTGATATCAATGGAGAGGTATACTTTCTGGGTGATTTAAATATTTACTGGCTTTCATCAGGCTGCCCACTCAAGAGAAAGCTTCAAACTGGTTCAGGTTATCAGTCAACCTACCAGGGTAGTTACAAACAGTACAGGAATGAAATCATCAACATGTATTGATCATATCTTTACTAATGCTGCAGAGATTTGTTTGAAAGCAGTATCCAAATCCAGTGGATGTAGTGATCACAATATAGTAGCCATATCTAGGAAAAGCAAAGTTCCAAAGTCTGGGCCTAATATTGTGTATAAGAGGTCATACAATACGTTTTGTAGTGATTCCTATGTTGTTGATGTAAAGAATATATGTTGGTCCGTGGTGTGTAATGAGGAGCAAACAGACACTGCACTTGACACATTTATGAAATTGCTTATTCCAGTTACTAATAAGCATGCGCCCATTAAGAAAATGACTGTAAAAATTGTTACATCCCCGTGGATTGATGAGGAATTTAAAAATGGTATGGTTGAGAGGGATGAGGCAAAAGGAATGGCAAATAAGTCTGGCTGCACAACCGATTGGCAAACGTATTGCAAATTGAGATATCATGTGTTTAAACTGAATAAAAAGAAGAAGAAACGACACTATAAAACAAAGATAAATGACATAAAGAATGATAGTAAAAAGCTTTGGAGCACCTTAACATTGACATTTTGGGAAAAAAGGCAAACTCAGCTCCATCATTCATTGAATTAGATGGCTCATTCATCACAAAACCAACTGATATTGCCAACTACTTTAATGATTTTTTCATTGGCAAGATTAGCAAACTTAGGCATGACATGCCAGCAACAATTGCTGACACTACACATCCAAGTATATCTGACCAAATTATGAAAGATAAACGTTGTAATTTTGAATTCCGTAAAGTGAGTGTGGAAGAGGTGAAAATATTATTGTTGTCTATCAACAATGACAAGTCACCTGGGTCTAACAACTTGGATGGAAAATTACTGAGGATAATAGCGGACGATATTGCCACTCCTATTTGCCATATTTTCAATTTAAGCCTACTAGAATGTGTGTGCCCCCAGGCTTGGAGGGAAGCAAAAGTCCTTCCGCTACCTAAGAATAGTAAAGCCCCCTTTACTGGCTCAAATAGCCGACCAATTAGCCTGTTACCAACCCTTAGTAAACTATTGGAAAAAACTGTGTTTGACCAGATACAATGCTATTTTACAGTAAACAAATTCACAACAAACTTTCAGCAAGCTTTTAGAGAAGGACATTCAACAAGCACAGCACTTACACAAATGACTGATGATTGGCTGAGAGAAATTGATGACAAAAAGATTGTGGGGGCTGTTTTGTTAGACTTCAGTGTGGCTTTTGACATTATCGATCATAGTCTGCTGCTGGAAAAACGTATGTGTTATGGCTTTACTCCACCTGCTATATTGTGGATACAGAGTTACCTGTCTAACAGAACACAGAGGGTGTTCTTTAATGGAAGCCTCGCCAACATAATCCAGGTAGAATTCCCCAGGGCAGCTGTCTAGGCCCATTAATTTTTTCAATCTTTACTAATGATATGCCACTGGCTTTGAGTAAAGCCAGAGTGTCTATGTATGCGGATGACTCAACACTATACATGTCAGCTACTACAGCGACTGAAATGACTGCAACACATAACAAAGAGTTGCAGTTAGTTTCAGAGTGGGTGGCAAGGAATAAGTTAGTCCTAAATATTTCTAAAACTAAAAGCATTGTATTTGGAACAAATCATTCACTAAACTCCAAACCTCAATTTAATATTGTAATAAATAATGTGGAGATTGAGCAAGTTGAGGTGACTAAACTACTTGGAGTTACCCTGGATTGTAAACTGTCATGGTCAAAACATATTGATACAACAGTATCTAAGATGGGGAGAAGTCTGTCCATAATAAAGTGTGTCTCTACCTTCTTAACAGCACTTCCACAAAGAGGGACTTAGGAAAATTGTAATTGGCTCAAAACAGGGCAGCATGGCTGGCCCTTGGATGTACACAGAGAGCAAACATTAATAATATGCATGTCAATCTCTCCTGGCTCAAAGTGGAGGAGAGATTGACTTCATCACTGCTTGTGTTTGTGAGAGGTGTTGACATGTGGGGTATGCATGTGTGTCTGAGCTGTGTGCCAGTCGTTCTAACATACCCCAGAGGTCTCTTCACAGTCCCCAAGTCCAGAACAGACTATGGGAGGCGCACAGTACTACATAGAGCCATGACTACATGGAACTCTATTCCACATCAGGTAACTGATGCAAGCAATAGAATCAGATTTAAAAAAACAGATAAAAATACACCTTATGGAACAGCGGGGACTGTGAAGCAACACAAACATAGGCACAGACACATGCATTCACACACATGATAACATACGCTCTATACACACACGTACACATGGATTTTGTGTTTTAGATATGTGGTAGTGGAGTATGGGCTTGAGGGCACACACTTAGTGTGCTGTGAAATATGTTATGAATGTATTGTAATGTTTTTTTAAATGTATAACTGCCTTAATTTTGCTGGACCCCAGGAAGAGTAGCACTGGGGTCGAATTCAATCAATACAGTGAGGGAAAAAAGTATTTGATCCCCTGCTGATTTTGTACGTTTGCCCACTGACAAAGACATGATCAGTCTATCATTTTAATGGTAGGTTTATTTGAACAGTGAGAGACAGAATAACAACAACAAAAAAATCCAGAAAAATGCATGTCAAAAATGTTATAAATTGATTTGCATTTTAATGAGGGAAATAAGTATTTGACCCCTCTGCAAAACATGACTTAGTACTTGGTGGCAAAACCTTTGTTGGCAATCACAGAGGTCAGACGTTTCTTGTAGTTAGCCACCAGGTTTGCATACATCTCAGGAGGGATTTTGTCCCACTCCTCTTTGCAGATCTTCTCCAAGTCATTAAGGTTTCGAGCCTGACGTTTGGCAACTCGAACCTTCAGCTCCCTCCACAGATTTTCTATGGGATTAAGGTCTGGAGACTGGCTAGGCCACTCCAGGACCTTAATGTGCTTCTTCAGGAGCCACTCCTTTGTTGCCTTGGCCGTGTGTTTTGGGTCATTGTCATGCTGGAATACCCATCTATGACCCATTTTCAATGCCCTGGCTGAGGGAAGGAGGTTCTCACCCAAGATTTGACGGTACATGGCCCTGTCCATCGTCCCTTTGATGCGGGGAAGTTGTCCTGTCCCCTTAGCAGAAAAACACCCCCAAAGCATAATGTTTCCACCTCCATGTTTGACGGTAGGGATGGTGCTGTTGGGGTCATAGGCAGCATTCCTCCTCCTCCAAACACGGCGAGTTGAGATGATGCCAAAGAGCTCGATTTTGGTCTCAGCTGACCACAACACTTTCATCCAGTTCTCCTCTGAATCATTCAGATGTTCATTGGCAAACTTCAGACGGGCCTGTATATGTGCTTTCTTGAGCAGGGGGACCTTGCGGGCGCTGCAGGATTTCAGTCCTTCACGGTGTAGTGTGTTACCAATTGTTTTCTTGGTGACTATGGTCCCAGCTGCCTTGAGATCATTGACAAGATCCTCCCGTGTAGTTCTGGGCTGATTCCTCACCGTACTCATGATCATTGCAACTCCACGAGGTAAGATCTTGCATGGAGCCCCAGGCCGAAGGAGATTCACAGTTCTTTTGTGTCTCTTGTGTCTTCCATTTGCGAATAATCGCACCAACTTTTGTCACCTTCTCACCAAGCTGCTTGGCGATGGTCTTGTAGCCCATTCCAGCCTTGTGTAGGTCTACAATCTTGTCCCTGACATCCTTGGAGAGCTCTTTGGTTTTGGCCATGGTGGAGAGTTTGGAATCTGATTGATTGATTGCTTCTGTGGACAGGTGTCTTTTATACAGGTAACAAGCTGACATTAGGAGCACTCCCTTTAAGAGTGTGCTCCTAATCTCAGCTCGTTACCTGTATAAAAGACTCCTGGGAGCCAGAAATCTTTCTGATTGAGAGGGGGTCAAATACTTATTTCCCTCACTTAAATGCAAATCAATTTATAACATTTTTGACATGCTTTTTTCTGGATTTCTTCTGAAAATTTCTTTGTCAGTGGGCAAACGTACAAAATCAGCAGGGGATCAAATACTTTTTTCCCTCACTGTAATTCAATTAATTTTCATCTGTACTGCTTCAGAGGGCACTTATATTAATTTTGATATTTTACATACAGTATAATTTAGTTCAACTTAGAACTGTGAGACCTAATTATAGCTGGCTGTCAGAAAAAGGGTTGAGTAGGATGGTGTTGTTAGTAATTATGACTCCTGAACAAGTTCCTTCCATTCTCCATCTCACAGCAAGCAAGACCGTGATGTGACCACAGCTGCTGTCATCCAAAGATGCTCAGCATGTCTTTTGGACCTGACAATGAGACTGAGACTGGTGTGAACCCTACAACACTGGCAGGGAATGGTAGACTTGCAAGAAATGTTTTTATATGTGATAT